CTGTGCGCGCTCCGCGCCGAGAACCGCGCCGCGCGCCTCCGTGGCCAGCTCCCGGCTGTGCCGGTGCAGAAGGGGGACTGCGGGGACCCAGGTGAGCGTGGGGACCCAGGGCGCTCTCCAGACACTTTTTGCACTTTCGTAAGGAGCATCAATAAACAGTGCCTTACTGCAGTCGCTCTTACTGCAGTCCCCCCTTCTGTCCTAGGGTCCTAACCCTTTTTGCTCATGGTGTTCGCTCCTCCTCAACAGGTGTCGCTTAGAATGATTTGATTTCTTATTTATCAGCAGTAGTAGTATCTTTAAACTCGATGCGGGGCACGCCAGTATCTATAAACCTGATGCAGGGCACATGCACGAGACGGGGAGAGGGGGAGAGGGGGAGAGGGGGAGAGAGGGAGAGAACGAGCTGCCAGGTCCTGGACTCGGACTGGTGCCCAGAGTGGAGTCCAGCGCCCCAGTCACCGCCAACCACCCAACGCCTTCTGGCCCACTTCACGGCCACTTTCAGTATACTGTCTCCCGGGTTCGGTTTTCTCTTTCTTCCAGCTGAGATGACGGGTCTGGTTCTCTGAAGACATATCCTTAAGGGGCCTCAGAGGACACATATGAGGGGGTGACTGAAGAGGAAGCAGAGGGAATGTGGAGAGAGGGAGGAGAGAGAGGGGTCTGAGATAGCCTTGGGTTACGGGGAGGGAGGGGGCTCCCACCACCCAAGCAAGGAGCCATTTCTCCGCAGGGACCCGCAGTGCCAGCTGGCTCCGCAGCAAGCACAACTTCATCGCCGAGGTGGTGGAGAAGGTGGCGCCGGCTGTGGTTCACTTACAGCTGTTCCGGAGGTAAAGGAGGGGGCTGATGTGCTGGGCCCGGAGTTCCCATGCCCACCTGCTCCAGGCCAGTTCTTGGTATCGCTTCATTAAAACCTCCAAGAGCAGGACCAGCAGATGGCATAATGGCTGTGTCGCTGGACTCCCTGGTAGTCCACCTCCTCCCGAGTCCTGGACCCTGTGTCTTAAACTCTCACCGGGTGCGTGTGCATGCGCACCCGAGATCCCAAGAGGAGAATGGAGGAGAAGGGATTGCGGCGTGGCCATCCCCCCTGGGGGGTGATTTCTCACTTTCTGTGTCTCTGTCTCTCTCTGTCTTTCTGGTGAGCACATACGCCCTATAGAAAACCCTCTAAACAAAAACAAAAACAAAAAAACCCACAAAAACACCTCCAAGAGGAAAGAAAGGCAGAGGTCATGTTGGAGGTCACTGAGCCTAAGCAGGGGCACAGGATCTGGCATCCCCGAGGCTGCTCCCGTGTACTTGGGCGGCTGGGGTTTCTCTCTCTGTCGTGTCCCACAGAATGTAAGATGAAGTGTAAGAGTTGGGTGGCATCTTAGGGTGATCTTGCCCAGCCCCCTCTTTTGCATGCAAAGAGCTCCAACCCAGGGGACAAGATGAATCCATCCTGTGTCACAAGCCAGCTGGTGGTGGAGACCAAGCCAGAATCTGACCCCTGCGGCTCCCTCCCTGGGGTCCTTAATACTGTGGCATTCAGCCCACTTTGCCCATAGTCATAGGATTAGGTTTGGCCGCTTTGCAGCATAAGGTCCTGGGGCTGCTGCTGCACTGACCAGATCTGAAGGGGCAGAGTCCCTGGAAAAGGAGAGTTGGAACCAGCCCCCAACTGTGTTCACAAAGGTTGGCCAGGGCGCTGGACGTGCGGAGTGCACGTGTACACAGAGAAAATAAAATCAGCCAGGGAAAGTAAACAGAGAAAACTGTGATGGAGGTATGTTAAATAAGGGCGAGGTCCCCGTGACCCCCAGACCTGCCCTCTGCTTACACTGTGGTCTCGTGGCAATAGGTCAGCTCTGGGCGGCAAGGACATTCCCGCGTCCAGCGGCTCTGGGTTCATCTTGTCGGAGGATGGGCTCATTGTTACCAATGCTCACGTTCTGACCAACCAGCAGCGGATCCAGGTGGAGCTCCAGAGTGGGGCACAGTACGAGGCCACCGTCAAGGACATTGACCACAAATTAGATCTTGCGCTGATTAAGATTGAGCCAAAGGTGAGTATTTGAGGGTCGGATCAGAGGCTGTGAATTGGAGGATTTACGTCTGATCTGCTGAAACTTTCTTTCCCACTCCACTCAAACATCACATTGTTCCTCTCTTGGGTTGTCAGAAAAGTCAGGATGCGTCTTTGCATTGAAAAACAGAAAAATACGTCGTGACCTTCCCGATGACCTAATGTAACAGTATATGCCTTTTTTCTAGCTTGTTTCTGTTCTTCCCTCCCTCTTAAAGTTTCCTCTGTCTATCTGGATATCCTAATGATTTCTATTCACTATCCATCTTGCCTGCTTTCTCTGTTTCTTCTTTTTTCCGTTTCTTCCTGCAGCTCTTTCTTGGACAATGCTGTTTCTGGGAAGATTATTTCTGTGCTTGGTGCAGGACACCTGAGTATTTCAGCAGGCTCAGTGCTGCTAAGGAGCACTGTGAGGTTCTTGCGCACAGACTGACCTGCGGTTTGCACCCCACCCTTACCCTCTGGGTGCTTTGTAGAAATGCAGGCTCTCAGGCCCCACGCAGCTCTCCTGCTCAGAACGTGATTCCTGTGCGCATTCAACTTGAGAAGTGCCGCTCTGTGGGTCGCTTACTCGGTTCACTTCTGAGCTGGAGAGTGCTGAGTAAATTGCTCCTGTCAGTTTCTGTTCATCAGTTACATGACTGAAGGTTTACCGTGGGGCTGTCGAAAAAGGCATGACGCATTTTTGCATAGAAAAACAGAAAAACACGTTATGACTTTTGCAATGATCCAATAGTGGCCATTTCGACAGAACAAGAATTTTAGATCTCTGAGAAGATCCTGATCGTCTTCACGAGTGATAGTAGTTGGACAGGGAGGAAGAGATCGAAGGCGGGTGTGGGACCTCTGTGCGTGGGTACTTCTTTGATGCCAGGTGTCTGAAATGACAGCAATGGAACCGTGTCTGTGCTGTGTGTGCACCAACCCGGCTCAGCCTGCTTTTGATTTCTTTCTTCTCCCTTTTGGCGCTCCGCATCCACCCTTGCCCATATGCAGACTGACCTCCCTGTGTTGCTGCTGGGAAGCTCGGCAGATCTCCGGGCTGGAGAGTTCGTGGTGGCCTTGGGGAGCCCGTTTTCTCTGCAGAACACCGTGACTGCAGGCATCGTCAGCACCACACAACGAGGGGGCAAAGAGCTGGGGCTGAAGGACTCCGACATAGACTACATCCAGACCGATGCCATAATTAACGTGAGTCCCCGAGGACCCAGCCACAGCCCACAAGCTACAGGTGGCAGAGGGAGAGCTGATGTCAGAGCCACCTGCTCCTGGGGGCCTGGGGTGTCCGGCCTTCAGTTAGATGCCTTGAGAGGGGAGGAATGCTAGGTTATTGGAGTTGATGTGGTCGCTGGCTGCCATGATATTGGGGGTCTCTCAAGTCTGTCACAGAGCCACCACCAGGAGAAGGTGGGGTCCCTTTGCTGTGGTTCCTTACCTACACCGGGCTCAGGGTTGGTGAGCTAAGGGCTTAGCCTACGTTGGGGGAATGAGAGCTTATTAGAGGAGGCCACGGGCTGCATTTGCAAAGCTGGTTGGGGCTTGGTATAAAAGACAAGGGAGAATGTGTTCATTGGTGTTACTGACGGCCTTTTCAAATTCTCTCCCCAGCACGGGAATTCTGGGGGGCCTCTGGTGAACTTGGTAAGTGGCCACGTTCCAACCTGCTTCACATCTTTCCCGATGAAGTCCCTGCTGGGGACTTGGGTGCTACTCTTGTTTGTGTGGAGACTTGGGGAACGATGCTTTTCTATTCTCGGATCTTAGGCAAATGGTTAGGAAAAATTAAACCAAGATCTATGACGGGTTTGTCTCCCTGGGGTGTGACCTCAGCCTGCTGAGGGTTCTGCTCGCAGTAGGGTTCTGGCCTGGGCTTCCTTCGAAGGCCTCCACTTAACGAGCTTTCTGTTTTTGCTGGCTACTTCCCAAAGCCTTGGATGTGAAGCCCAGGTTTTTGCCAGGGAGACCAGCTGTGCAGTGTAAGGGGGATCCTTGAAGAGCCCCTCCTGGAGAATAGGAAGAACTGTCCCGCACCTAGAGATGCCAGTTAGACAAAGTGGCCTGTCTGGGTTTTTTAGTCTGGACTTGCTTTTAGATGATAGAAACGCCCGCACCAGAATCCATTGCGTCGTGTGTTAATCTGTGTCTCTAGTGGAGATACCCGAGTTTCTAGTTGGTCAAATATACGTGAAAGCACATGCCAACTATGGTTCAAGTCCCAGACCTGAAGGCTTGAGATTTACACCGGGCACATGTGTGTGCGTGCCCAAAATCCTGAGAAGAGAATGGAAGAAAAGGGGCTACTGCATGGCCACCCCCCAGGGAGTGATTTCTCACTTTCCCTCTCTCTGTCTCTCTTGGTGAGTGATATACCCTATGACAAAAAGAAAAAAAAATGTGTGTGTGTGTGTGTGTGTGTGTGAAAACATAAGGTGCAAAGCTGTTGGCCACACGGCCTGTGACCATGCTTTCCGAGGTCCTCGGAGCTGGTTTCCTTCTGTCCCTCTTGCAATACTACGTCCGCCTTAAGAGGAGACGGAGGGTGGTGGAGTGAGGAGTGCCTTGCCCGTAACTTGCACCAGGTAGCTGTGCCTGCCTTCCCGTGAGACGGCGGCTTCACTGCAGCGGGGATGACACTGCCATTTCAGGCCACGCTCCACACCTGCAGGACTGCAGCCTGTACTGTCATGCAGTCAGAAACCCCTTGCCATCTTTATCATGACAGAAGCAGGAAACGTCCTTCTCCTTCTCATCTTCAGTGACAGGGCTGGGCTCCCAATTTGTCTGAATAGTTTCACTGAAAGGATTTCTTTTTCTGCCTTTTCCATTTAATTTTAGTTCGATTTGATGAATGCAAAGGCAAATACTCTTTGTCTTCTTATCTGGGTCCGAATCTAAATTGTGGCTCACTTTTAAAATGTGTAACTTATGAAGGAACAAATGAGCTCAATATAAAAACAATACTCAGCAGTTGACACCTTTGCCCTTGAGGAGGGGGTAACTTTCATGCGTGTGTGTGCGTGTGTGTGCATGTATGCATGTGCATGTGTGCATGTGTGTGTGCATGTGTGCAGCTCCCCTCCGCTCCCCTTCCTCAATAAAGAAACCGCCATGGCTCCCCATTAAAGAAGTAGGGATTTCCCCTCGCCCCTCCCTCCTCTGCTCGCTCCGGTTCTCACTGCTGGGTTTGCAAAACTTCGTGACCAATGCGTCCTCTTCCCTGCCAGGATGGTGATGTGATCGGCATAAACACCCTGAAGGTGACCGCGGGCATCTCCTTTGCCATCCCCTCTGATCGAATCAGGCAGTTCTTGGCCGACTACCACGAGCGCCAGCTAAAAGGTAAAGAAGGGTGTTGGGATTTCTCGAAGCTCAGTCTTTGGTGGAGACAGCGTTTGAGTCGTGGAGTGCCGCGTGGCTGGCTCTCTGCTCCGCCATGGTGGTTTGGGCAGGGGTACTGGGGCCAGGCCCAGAAGCAAGCATGCGATGCACCAGAAGGACTTGGGTGGATCAGTGTGGAAATGAGGCCCATGGGCTGGCGGTGGGGGTGGGGTGGGCATGTGCCCTAAGGACAAAGGCCGCTAAAGTGCAGATATCCTGGTGGGCAGCCTGAGGGCAGCTGTGATGGCAGAGATTGGGAACGGACTCGCGTCTTTTAAGCTCTGCCCAGAGGAAAGAGGTTCTGTTGTCAGTAATACGGGGTACCCTCCTCTGCAGGGAAGGCTCTCTCGCAGAAGAAGTACCTGGGTCTGCGGATGCTGCCGCTCACCATGAAGTAAGCATGGGTTGGCTGAAGTAAGCATGGGTTGGCTACGTCCGGGCTCTGCTCAGAGGCAGAGCCATCGTGGGGAATTCACAGAGAGGCCCAAGCAGCTGGCCTACGGCTGGGTACTCCCCTGACCACAGGCCCCAGAGTCACAGGGTGCGTGCCCCTGCGCCTGCCCCAGCTCTAGCTCTGACAGTGCACAGGGCTTCCGCTGTGGCTGTATCTTCGATGGTTCTAGACCCCGGCCTGGAGGGACCAGACCGTGTGCAGGGAGAACGATGGTGACTGGCTTGCAGGACGCCTCCCTGCCGTCAGCCTGGAACGGGTTCCCGCCAAGAGTGCCCGGCTTTTAGCAGGGCCCTGGAGAGTAATCCACGGTTCCCTCGCCTTCTCGCTTCCCTCAGCCTTCTGCGTGAAATGAAAAGGCAAGACCCGGATTTCCCTGATGTGAGTTCGGGGGTTTTTGTGTATGAAGTGATTCAAGGAACAGCTGCTGAGAGGTAAGAGAAGTGGGGTGCTCTGCTGCCCACCTCTGCTCTTCCCGTGTGGGCGTGCGTGGGTAAGAGAAGTGGGGTGCTCTGCCGTCCGCCTCTGCTCTTCCCAGCGTGTGCCCGCGTGGGCGCGCGTGGGGCCTGGACATGTGGTGAGTCTGGGACACCGGGATATGGCCAGTGGGACCAAGGAATGGAATTTAAATGGATTTAAATGTAAAACTCACAAACCATGTAGGACATTGTCGCGTCAAACACAGCTTTAACCATCGCATCGCTTACGGTGCGGTTCTCTATGGTAGCGTGTTGGCAAAAATACCTATTAATTTAAAGAATACTTACTACATATTCAAAGATCATATTTTGGGGACCACCAGATGGCGTAATGGTTATGTTGCTGGACTCCCATGTAGTCGACTATGGTTAGAGTCCTGGACTCAGCTACTTAAAACTCACACCAGGTGTGCATGTATGTGTGTGCATGCCTAAAATCCTGCGAGGAGAATGGAGGAGAAGGGATTGTGGCGTGGCCGTCTCCCCTGGGCGATGATTTCTTGCTTTCTGTCTCTCGGACTCTGTCTCTCCGGCAAGCGCATGGGCCCTATAGCAAAAATTCTCTCTTTAAAAAAGAAAAAAAGATAATATATATTGAGTTAAATAAGATAGTATGTTATATTAATTTCATCTTAAATGTTTTCTTTTAAATGTGGCCACTAGAAAACTTAAAATTGCGCCTGTGGCTTGCGTTCCCTTTTGGTTGGACAGGGCTGCTTTAGACGAGTCCCTGTGAAGGTCGATATTTGGGGGTGAGGGGAGGAGGTCGGTTCTCTGTAATCTCAGAATTCATGAGATGATTAATAGCATCAATTTAATCTTGCTAAATTCACACATTTACTCTTTGGATAGTCGTACTTATTACTTAATAAGTTATTAGGTTACTAATAACTAGTTAATTACTTAACCACTACATAATCATTACTAAGGGAAGAATCCAGATTACTAACAGTTTTAATACGTATTTTAGTTTAATCATGTCTTTTTAATTGCTAGAGGGTATGCAGGAAAAAGCACCCTTCCAACCCCTTCTCCTTCATTTCTCCACTTTGTTGCGATTTGGGGCACGCATGCACACGTGGCCAGTGTTTTTCAAGGCACTGGGGCTGGGATTTGAACCCTGGTCAGCCATGTGGGGTCTGGCTTCCCTGACCACTAGGCTATGAGGCTAGCCTGTGTTTTTGATATCGTAAGATGCTTTGTGAACTCAGGATGGTAACGTCAGAGGCCAGCACTTTGTGTGGTAAGGCGAGGGCTGGGGCAGCCCTGAAAAGTTTCTGCAGCTCATTTCAGGCTGTTTTGAAATATGTAATACTAATTAAGGAAAGAGGGGTTCGTCCTAAAAAGAGTGGTTCGTCCTACAAATACCATTCTCCTGGGTCTCTCTGTACTTCATTACCTCGCTCACTGTTTTTCAAGAGCTCAGTAATCTGTTCAGATTTTGGCAACATTTTTACTGCAGGATATGAAACATCAGGTACTAACTGTTCAGCATAGCTAAGTGTTAGGTCTCGTGTTACTGAATCTGGCTGGTCATAGGCTTTTCTAGACTTCCCTGGTTCCTCTTTCCCCCCCCCCCCCCCCCTTATTTTTAACTTCTGGTTCAAGGCCAAAGCTATTTCAGCCAAGGCCTTCTGCTCAGATTGTGGTCTGTAGACCTGTAGTGTTAGCATCAGTCGAGGCTTGTTAGAATCACAGCCATCCCCACCCCCCGCATCATCAGTCGAGGCTTGTTAGAATCACAGCCACAACCACCCCCCGCATGCACACGCACACGCACGCACACACACACACACACACGCTTACTTCAATCCACCGAATCAGAACCTGCGTGTTTAACAAGCTTCCCAGGTGGCCGGGAGAATGAGCTGCTGGAAGTCACCAGTGAGTGGAAATCCATTCTTCCTGGCTCACCCACTCATCCCTAGTAAGCGGGCACTTATGAAGCGTGCGCTCTGGGTCAAGCACCATGTAAACTGTGTGTTTGAACTCGCAACCGCCTTACATTACAGGTAGCTTTACAGAGGAGGCAGCAGTGGTCCAGAGAGGTTAATTAACTTGTAGTTACACAGCAAGCCAGAGTTTAACCCCTCTGTTACCCTGTTTTTGTGGCAGCTTTTCTTCTAAGAGGCAGAGTGACTTAGCACCCAGAAGCTGGGTGTTCGAGTCTAAAGGACCGAGGATCCAACCCCATGTTTGGTCTGACCTGGGAAAGGCGGTCTCCCCATCTGACCTTAGCTCCTGGGACCTGGTGCAGAGCAGGCCCTCCGTGGAACCGTGCAGGTTTTCTTTCCTGCTCACAGAACTTTAGGGATCGAGTTCTCTGTGCATACTGTCCCAAGCCACCCTCCCAAAGTGCCCTGTGCGGAGGGCTTTTTCTGAGTTCAGCCCTCTCCTCGAGCGGCTTGTCATGCCTTCTTGCTTTTCAGTTCCTTTTTAAAACTCCTCATATCTTGGCAAATTCCACTATAGTGTTTCCCCATTTTTCTTAAGTGGTGTCTAGTGCACTTTGTTGCTAATAACAAAAAACATCCGTGTCTCGGTAATTTAAGAGAATAGGTTTATTCTTGGAGTCTTTAGATGAGGTATTGCTCTTCCATTTTCACCTTTAAGACAGATCATTGGCAGGGCAGTATTACGGATCGCTGTTTTGTACCTGGAGTTGTTTTTTGTTTCTGCTGGGTCATCGGAAAAGTTGTGACACATTTTTGCATAGAAAAACATAAAGGGACCAGTGTAATGGTTATGTCGCTGGACTCCCATGTAGTTGGCTGTGGTTCAAGTCCCAGTCTCAGTGACTTAAAATTCACGCCAGGTGCATGTGTGTGCATGCCCGAAATCCTGAGAGGAGAATGGAGAAGGGATTGTGGCATGTCCATTGTCTGCCGTGCTGCTCCCCCCTCCCCCCCTTCTTGCTGTCTGTCTTTCTGGCGAGCGCACACGCCCCACAGCAAAAACCTCTCAAAAGAGAGAGAGAGAGAGAGAGAGAGAGAGAAGAAAAAAAGGAAAACAGAAAATAATATCATGGGGCCAGCAAGTGGTGTGCTGGTTAGAGCTGGACTCCCACATGGCTGACCACGGCTTGAGCCCTGGACCTGGCAGCTTGCTCTCTCAGTCTCTCTCTCTCTCTCTGTGTCTTGCTATAGTCAAATTAAAAATAACAACAATGATAAACAAAGGAACTAATTCTTAAAAAGAAAAATCATGTCATGACTTTTCCGACGCCCTAATAGAATATGTACCCTACGTGGAACATACTGGGAGACTGGCTATAATCGCAGCCCTGGGCAAGCAGAGCCGAGGACCGGCTCTTCACATATCTAGACGTGGGAAGCCGAGTGGCTTTTGGTGTCCTGGAAGCAGGATTCGTGTCACAGCTCGGCGCCCTCTGCAGCTGGTACATTGTGGTGAAGACGGGCTGCCGGGCGTGGAGCCCCAGTCACCGACGGCAGGAGGGTGACGGGGGAAAACGTGTTGCTCGGGTTTTTCACTGTTGTTGGTGAGACGGCAGTGTGCCTCACGCCAGTAAAGATCAGAGATAGAGAGAAATGCAAAAACTCTATTCCGAACCAATCCAACAGAGCACAGTGCACTTCCTACACGGGGTTAGGCCAGGCACTCCTTTGGTAAGGAGCCAGGGGTGCTGTCCTCCAGGAGCTTTCGCACCGTGTCTCAGAACAGCGCTCATCTCTGGAGGAGCTCAGCCGCTCTGGTTTCTTGGTTCGCACGTTTAGTGGCAGCAGATCAGCAGTGACCTAAGAGGGGACCGCTGCACCCTCGATGGGGTAAACTGCGTCGGCAGTCACAGTCCTTTTCTCCCCGTCCCAGCTCCGGCTTGAGAGACCACGATGTAATCGTCAGCATAAACGGGCAGCCCGTGACCACGACGGCGGACGTTATCGAGGCCGTTAAAGACAACGACTCCCTCTTCATCGCCGTTCTTCGGGGAAGCCAAACTCTGCTCCTGACGGTCACGCCCGAAATCATCAATTGAGTATCCTGCTTTAAAGAGAGATTGACAAAACCACCGTGATAGTACTGGTGTGTGAGGAAGATGTGCCAACGGCGATGAGTGCTTAGAAAGAAACGGATGCTTCAAGTACACATGCTCAAGGTCTCTGGGTTGGGGCGCCGCACCGCTGCTGAAAAGCCTTACTGTGCCAAGCAGATGAAGGGCATGGTGCCGGGAAGTCTGGGGACCTGACAGTTTTGGTTAAAGGTAGGACACAACTAAAATATAGGCACAATTTCTAATTTTAACCTTGCCTGACGGGGCACGTTAGTATTTTAAACCTTCTTTATAGACACCACATATAACCCACATACAAAAATATGTAGAACTGCCTACTAAGTATTGAGAAACAGCCTGGACCCCGAGTGCGAAGGTGAGCAATTTTCAACAGTTTTTCAGGGTGTATCACATTTCCCCGGGGGGGTGGATCTCCAGGATGGGCATCAGGTCGAAGTCAAATGGGCGACTGTCACGCGGGCGTAGGAGTGACGCTCTGGTCATCATCCTCGTGTACAAATAGTTGGTCCAGGCGCTCTGGCCGCCAGAAGGGCTCCTTCCGTGCAGCAGCTTCTTCAGGGATCCACAGGCGCTTGCATTTTCACCGGGCAGCTCTTCTCACCAAGCTGTTCCAGGCCACGTTAGGGATTTCAAGCCCTGGAGCTGCCTAAGTCCTTTTTCAAGAAGAAAACCCTTTGGATGGGGTTTGTAAATATCCTTAGGGATTTTGAGTGTGTGTGTGTGTGTGAGTGAGAGAGAGATATGAAGCAGGGTTTGTGGCTTAAAATAGTTCTTATTTTGGAAGATTTTAATTTTAGTTTCTGTTTTCCAGACTTCCCTTAGGAGGTTTATAGGTATCTCTCTCTCTCTCTGCACATATATGTATATATATATATATACACACACACATAATATATACACACACACACACACACACATACATCCTTGGACATCCTTACATTCTAGGCACAATTTTATGTGTATGTGCATTTTTCTGGAGAGTCTGCCAATGATAATGTTATAAGCAAGCTTAAGATCAGTGTGGTACAGAACCCTTGAGACAAAATCTAGTTTTCACACAGTTCCCATCTTTAATAACATAAGAACAGCGATCATATTAAGCAGGGAATGACGAAGCAGAAGCTGCAGGAAAGCTGCTATGAAATGATAGGGAAGTTACCCAGGGACGTTATCTTAGCTGTGCTCTCTGGTCCTTAAATCAACTATTCTGAGAGTGAACGTTAAGGAGTCCTGGACTGACGGTCTCTAGGATGTGGGTTTTCTGAACAGCAGGCTCTTCTGCTGACTGGTCCGCCGTCTGCCTTTTAGTTGACGGTTCAAAGCTCTTTTCAGCTCAAGAGTGCAAAGGATGGGAACCGAGTTTTTAAAGCCACTTATCATGTGGAACATTGCCTTTTATTCCCAGTGGTCTGGGAATGCAAAAGTCTGGGTATATTGTTGAAGCCCACAGTGACAGCTCTCAGTCATAAACCTCGGCCTCCTCCCACCCTGGTAGCCAGCAGCGGGTAAGTAGGAACACGCTTTTCTCGGTACACGATGAGGGTACTTTATCCTACCTCGTCCTGAAGAAGAGTTTTACGCTTTCTTACATGAAACCTGTTTTTAAACAGCCACAATAAGGGCCCTTTAAGCAGGTAGATGCCAGTGTTTAGACAGGATAGTCTGTCAAGAGGAGCAGCTGAACTCCGATGTCTGATACGGGGCTGTGCAGAGTTGGGAGGAAGAGCTGAACTGCGTCTCCTGTCGGGAGCATCGTGATGGTGACACCGTGGGGCTTGTAATAGGATCTTGTGTTGCACGCCTGTCTTCTAGCTAAACAAATGTAGTCTTGAGTTTCCTCCTCCTTACGGAAAATAGTCATACAGCAGTCGGGCTGGCAAAATTTACTCTGCAATTTAAATCCGGAAAGTTTGAAATTCAGTGTGTATTAAAAATCCACGGCCACTCCTACTTCGGCTGAATATTTTCACCGGCTCAGCCTCAGACTCCTCTGCATGAAGACTCAGGCTCCCAAAAGGCGCAGATAAGAACATTCACTTTGCTCGTCCTGCTGGGCCTGGTTGCTCTGAAGGACCGAAGCTCCCACAATGAAGAATTCAGAAGGAGGAGACCCTGGGACCAGCAGTTAGTGTAATGGCTATGTCGCTGGACTCCCACGTAGTCGACCACGGTTCGAGTCCTGGACCCGGTGGCTTAAAACTCACGCCGGGCGCGTGTGCATGAGTCCCTAAGATCCCGAGAGAAGACTGGAGGAGAAGGGATTGCGGTGTGGCCATCCCCCCTGGGGGGTGATTTCTCACTTTCTGCCTCTGTCTCTCTGTCTGGCGAGTGCACACGCCCTATAGCAAAAACCTCTCCAAAAAAAAAAAAAACACGGAGACCCTGCCGTGGCTTCCCTGTCAGTCTCTCTCCTCTACACAGCACACGCAAGGGAAGGTACAAACCCGGTCCCACACACGGTGTGCATGTCATTTCTATTCTGTGAGGTAAAATTTGGGTTGAAAAATCCAAAGCCCAAAGAAGCTTTCTTAACCACACTCATTCTTCCCACGAGGGAGAGCAGAGGTCCGGTCTGCGATCACAGATGCGTTCTGAGTCTGTGGCGATGAATTCGGAAGACGGCGCGTTCGGAGGCCCCTTGGCCACATGACACCCTTTCTAGTAAACAGTGCACCAGTTGCTGCCGTCGCTTGGCATCAGCCCGCCGGTAATAAGCAAAATCAGGTCAACAAACCACCAAATCCCAAGGCCTCCGAGAGTCAAGAGCTTCCCGACTGCGGTGCCCGTGTGGCCCAAACAGAATCGATCCACTCCAAAACAGCCCAGGAAGAAGGAGTAGAGTAGAGTCGTTATGAAGTAGTGTCCGGTGTACCTGGACAAAAGGAATGGGAAGGAAGAGGCCTCACCACCGACATTAAAATACTTCATCAGGGCAGGGATGCTGTGGCTGCCCCTCGGAGGCCTGTTACTCTGTTCTGTATTCTTTCATGACGTGGTCAGTCAGGCTGGGCAGCAGCAGGAGACACAGGAGAGGCTCAGGAAAACCAAGCTTATATTCCTAGGTCCTAGAGACAGGCGACCTGCCCACCATGTGGAGTGGCCAGAGGAAAGGACTGAGGGGAGGGGAGGTCACTGCCTTTTTTGGTTCCTTTGATAAGGCAGTGCAGCATCAGGACAGCTGAGTCCAGGCAAGTCTGCCAGGCTCTAAACTAAAGGGTGGCCCCTCGCTGCCTGGCATTAGGTCCTAGGATAAGGAGGGCAGCGGAACAGTCTCCTGGGGTGGGCAGGCCAGGGACGGGGTGGGGCTCTGGACCAGTTAGTCTGCATACCAATGGCATGCTCCTGGCTGGGCCCTTTGCTGTCTCTAGCCTTGGGAGGGGTAGTTGCTCCTCAACTAGAAAAATTAAATGTTAAACATTATAATATACAGCAACAAAATTATAATACACCGTCTTGTCCCCTACCTGCCTCACCCCCAAAATCTCTACTTGGTCCGGGATCTGGAAGAGCCTCTGAGAACAAATATTGACTTTTGCAGACTTGGACAAGAACTTGGAAAGCAAATCTGCACAGCAGGCATCGTGGGGGGAGTGGGGTGTGGGCTCCCACAGGCTCCCCTCCTGAGGCCCTGCGGCGCCCTCCAGCGTGGTCCCCTAGGGAAGCACCATCTCTGCTTAGACAAACACCTGATCTCCACACGCCTCTCCTGCTGTTTTGTGGCTGCTGAAAGTGAAGACATCTTACAAGGCTCCTGTCCTTACACACGGCTGACAGCGCAGTTGCTCTAATGTCATCACTAAACACGGCCACAGACTTCCCCACTAGCAAGGGTGCAACTAAACTTGGGGCCTTCAGGTAGAATTCACAGAGATGACCCTAACTCTTTAAGATAAACCAATTTTCAGAGTGAAGAGCCCACACTTTATATAATAAAACCTTGATTCCTGAAACACCAGGGCCATTTCCGCTGGATTTATGCCTACCATTGGGGTTTTGCTACGCTTGTTTCCACTCTTCATTTGGTGGCTGAGGGGACAGACTCCGAGTGTCCACAGGTACTTAGCTAAGTTAGTGAGACACTGAGGACGGATGTCTTCTGGTCTCAAGGCCGGTGTGTCTCGGCCATGCCCTGCCCCGTGGGTCACGCACACGAGTAATGATGCTCCCTCATTAGCATTTCGGACTCACCTCCCAAAGTGACAGAAGGGCCCCACCTCCACCAAGGGCCAGCGACCCAGTTGACGTCACACTTACTTTATACAAGGCTTGTTCTCGCGGAGGAAGGTCCTGGGACTGGCACACTCGATCCCCTCTAGGGCCCGGCACTGCACGGCTGTGTGTTCCACATCGCTGTAGGCCTGGCCACCGAACTGCCAGAGAACAGCCAGGACCAAAGGCGACGGTGACAAACAAAACCGGACATAAACTCCCCAGAGTCATGCAGACGTGTGTTTACAGTCCATAGAGGACGCTGTCTTGGGGCTACAGTTGCTCTATCAAGGCCGGGAGCCTCGGGAGCAAGTTCACTCACGTACTTCAAGCAGTTTTGCGTGACCCCATCCTAGTGTTTGCTGTTTGAAATGTTCTCTTCTCTTTCACTATTATTGAAGCCAGTCAAAAATAGTGAGAAACACATAATCAATTTCATTCGATGCTATTTAGAAGAGACTGATCAGGCTTTAATTATGTAACATTTGGGGCCAGCTCTGGGACACAGCGGTGATGCATTATCCAAGAGAAGACTGACCCCACATGGTGACCATGGTTTGAATCCCTGGCCTGGTCAGCTTCAAACAGGCAGGGCACACCTGGGAGTCCAAGATCTGAGGGCTGGAGGGCTGGGGAGAGGGGACTGCAGCAGGACTAGACCCATCTGGGTGCTTAGCTCTCTCCTTCTCACTCTCTTTTCTCTCCTTGCTCTCATATGTGTGCACTTTAGCGTGAAAACGATCAAAGTTATAGGAAAAAGCACATGTAACCGAACATTTGGAAATGATTATTTTAAAAGTCAGTACGTGGGACCAGCTGATGGCATAGTGGTTACGTTGGTAGATTCCCACATGAATCTGGGACATGACCACAGTTCAAGTCCCAGATCCAGTGACTTCAAAATCACGCCGAGTGCGTGTGCGTGCATGCCCAAGATCCTGGGAGGAGAATGGAGAAGGAACCGCAGCATGGCCACGCCTCCTGGGGGTGATATCTTGCTTTCTGTCTCTCTGACGAGCACACGCACCCTGTAGCAAAAATCTCTCTTAAAAATAAAATCGTCAAAATGTATAAGTGGTCTGTTTTTTATCCAGCGTCAATGCCAGAATTAGGAAAGAACTCAAAATATCATCTGACTCAGGAGGATACAGGTACTCCTCATTGAACAACTGAGTTTGGTTCCTAGGACTTGGCAATCAAGCAAACTGGTTGATAAGCGAGGGGCTTAATGGCAGACGATCTGTGGTGTGTCCTGGTGCCACAGGGTATCAATCTGTCAATAGACAGCATGTGACATCATACTAGAATAAAGCCATTCTATCATACAAAAAGCACACATTGAATAAGAGCCTGACAGCAACAAGACACACCACAAAGCACAAGACCAAAACCCACCTTGAGACAGCCATAACCAAGCTCCTGGGAGGCGGTGGCATTTCCAACGTGATCCACTGGTTCTTCACATTCTATAAATTCATCAGGTCTGTAAGCCAGCAGGAAGTCACACGTGTCACCATCACAGGGTCTTTGCAAATTGCTGTTGACATGTGCATGATCCCACCGGGGAGGGGCATTTATTCCCCAAGCCTTGGGGGTTTAATCTCACTCTGTAGACCCTTTCCTAAGCCGAGAAGTAGGGTCAATTGGTTTGGAGCACTGCAGGCCAAATCGACAGCCACCCAAATGACCCCTTGTGTTGTTTCTGGTCCTTTTCTGCATGGGTTCTACTTCTACTATGGGTTCGTCTCTTACCTGGGCAAACAGCACAAGGCTATGGGGGTGAAATTCAAGTCAAAGCATTTTCAGTTCTCTGCATTTCCCAAATACCTTTCCTGACTTGATTAAAGAGAGATGTCAACAAATGGCTTGGTTCCCTCACGGTGAAGATATTGTTTTAAAAAAATTGTGCCTCGTAGGCAGGGGCAAGTCAGTTACTCCTTTGTGCCTCCCGCGGTGCATGCTCCTTTGGCTGAAGAATGCAAGACAAGGCACAACCTAGCACCTTCCAGAGGCTATGGGAGATCACTCCTGGCTCTCTTCTTGTAGGCATCCCGTAGGATCTGCCTCCGATACACAAGGTTTTTCCTTGCACGGGGCAGTAGAGACACACCTGTCATGACTTCTAGGTCCTCAGGTGGAGTAAGTTTGAAAAACGGGCACCTCCCCCAGCCCGCCTTCCCAGAACACCCATATATCCCTGGCCCAACCTCCATCCCCGCCCGTCTGGACGTCGGGGTAGCTTACAGGTAAGAGCAAAGAATGACCGGAGAGTGGGGGTCGCTGTAGTTCCAGTTCAGCGCCGCCGCGGGGCCTTCCAGGTGCGCGATGGCGGCGGATGTGAGCTCGGGCTCGGTGGTAGCGTTGTGCGGCTCGGGGAGACACAATGCAGTAGCAGGAGATTCCCGAGCAGCAGGGCCGCCTGGCCGCACAGAAGCAAGTAACTCACCGGGCAGCCGCCCAGCACCATCTTCCCGGGCCCACGGCTGGAAACCCGGCCCCAACCCCACCCCGAGGCCAGCACGGCGCCCGGGAGCCCTGCCTGTCCAGGCCTCTGCGCGTCGCCCGGCTCCTTGCCGCCCGGCAGCCAATGGGAGCGCCGCCCAGCGCCCCCGCCACCCCCCCCCCG